CAAAAATAAAGGTGATATTGTGTGTTAAGTACGATTTCTAATATGTCCTTGGAGTAAAATCTATTTTATCTTTGGTCAAGACATATATAATACTGAAATCATAAACATGTTTATCTTTGGTAAAGCAAAATTAAAATACTCCCTGAGTTACTCATTAACATAACTTCACTCAGACTTAGTAACTCATAAACATTTTTCTCATGTATGAGATATATCTATATATCTTATAAAACATTCCTGGAAGTTAATTTTTGTCCTCCAAGAAAATTTTTTATTTTTGTCTAGTACTAAATTCATCCTAATACATAAAGCATAAAAAATATGCATCAGCTTTAACTTAAAATCTTAGCCACCATTTTATTTTCATGTTATTGACAAAAAGGGTGAAATTGTTTAAAGGTAAACAGCTGGGAAAGTTTCTTAAAATTCAGTATACTTAGTCAGTAATATGTCTAGTTTGGTACAGCTGTACTGACTTAGGAACTCATTATATATACTGTATATGTATACTATACCTATAACAATTTTCGAAGTCAATTTTAAATTTCAATTAAATCAATATTTGTTGAGGAATAATTAACTTAAATTCACAAAGTAAAACAAGAAAATAAGTTAAAATTTGGTAATATCTATACTATACTCATGGATTTACTCATAACTATGGCTATTTATTGGCACTCTGTGATTGTCTTGTTATCATATGATAGAGAGTTACAATGTATTAAAGTAGAGTATATTTAGATAAAGGATTAAAATGGCTGTATGCATGTTTTAAAAACAGATATACTGAAGTATCAATACTTAGACATTACACCAATACATTTACATATGTAACACGAAAATCAAGATGAAGTACATAGAAATGTACAATGTTGACACACCATTACTCAGCATACCCAGAAATATAAATCCCTTTAGGAATATTAATACATATACCTCGGATCTTCATCTAAGGTTATGTAGACCAACACTGTACCCGACTGAGCTAACAAGGTTCCATCAACATCAAGCAAAAAATAAAAAAATTTGTCTACAACACCAAAACATAGTGAATGAAACAATAGAATACAATAAATATAAGACACCAAAACAATACAGATTTCTATAAGACACCAAAACAATACAAATTTCTATAAGACACCAAAACAATACAGATTTCTATAAGACACCAAAACAATACAGATTTCTATAAGACACCAAAACAATACAGATTTCTATAAGACACCAAAACACTATAGATTTCTATAAGACACCAAAACAATACAGATTTTTATAAGACATCAAAACAATACAGATTTCTATAAGACACCAAAACAATACAGATTTCTATAAGACACCAAAACAATACAGATTTCTATAAGACATCAAAACACTATAGATTTCTATAAGACATCAAAACACTATAGATTTCTGTAAGACACCAAGAGACTACAGATTTCTATAAGACACCAAAACAATACAGATTTCTATAAGACATCAAAACACAATAGATTTCTGTAAGACACCAAGAGACTACAGATTTCTATAAGACATCAAAACAATACAGATTTCTATAAGACACCAAAACAATACAGATTTCTATAAGACATCAAAACACTATAGATTTCTATAAGACACCAAAACAATACAGATTTCTTTAAGACACCAAAACATAATACATATTGTATATAACACCAAAGGACTAGGTTTCTATAAGACACTGAAGCAATATAGATTTCTATAAGACACCAAAACACAATAGATTTCTGTAAGACACCAAAACAAAATAGATTTCTGTAAGACACCAAAACACAATACATATTGTATATGACACCAAAACCAAATACAATTGTATAAGACTGCAACATACAGTACATTTCTTTAAGCCACCAACCTATAAGAAAAATACACATTTATATGACACAATTGAGTACATTCAATGCCTTGCAAAAAATAAACCTTTACTCAATTCATGAAATAATATAAACTGGAAAATTTCTGCACTGTGGAATATGAGCACTTCAATCAAATTCTTTGTTCAATTTGTAATTTACTGTGATAAGTCGTAAGTCATAAGTACATGAAGTGAAAAGAGGTGAAATTAAACTACATATACATTTTCCAGTAAATCTATATTCAAAAATAGTTATAACAATCTATCTTATTGTTTTCTATCTAAAATATATATACTATATTATAAATATAAAGATGGCATTTCATAAATAAAGAAGCAGAAAGCACAATAGTCTGGACATTTATCAGATAGCACCTTATCATTATCTATACAAAATTACTTGAACAAGTGAAATTTATAGGTATACAAAATAAGCACAAATCCATATTACCAACATGGTCTGGACGCTGAACACACCAACTCAGTTGTACATTCAGTGCCATTTCCAGGCAATAAAGAGTCATGTTTCTGTATTTGTCCTATGATAAAGATTGGACGATGAACGGGAAAATTACAAGTCAACTGGATTACATAGAGACAGTATTAGGAAGATAAATATATGAACAGAAGCTGAAGTCCTATTATTACTAAAGCACTATGTAAATCAATATGAAAAAATAGATCACAATTATTTTTTTACATTGAATCAACAGTTAGAGTGTGACAAGGGGAAATCACTCTAGCAACACAAATCATATTACTCTCAGTATTAGACTGAATTGTCTGCTGTAGGTTTTCTGTTCTCCTCTAGACTTTGCTTTGAAAATATGTCTTGGTTTCAACGATTGCAGTCTAGAGGAGAAAAATTGTAACAGTAATAATGACTACTATGGTATATATACTAATTGTAGAGGGGAGATCTTTCTCTTATAAATCCTATTATCTGGACCGAGACCACAAATACTTCTTGGTTCAGGACTGACAAATGAGGTTCCTGGAAAATGTTGATTTCTTTAGTTTAAAAACTAACATGCCTCTTTGAATATAAATTTTATGTAGATCTGTTTTCGACGATATCATGGTCCTGTGTGAAAAGACTTGTTTCCACCTCTATCCCCAACTCTGAAAGTGATCCTGTCCAGATGAAGTGAAAAGTTGTAGATGATCTTTGGGCATTTGTTTTGGATTTTCATGTTACAACGAAACATATAGTGCTGAGTGTGAAAGGGGAGATCACTCTCACACATTTATAATCTACCAAGTGTGAAAGGTAGATCACTTCCATCCACTTCATATAATCAGCCGAGAATGATACAAACTATGGATTGTAACAGGGGAGTTCACTCTTGAACAAATAATACTAACTGCGGAGCATGACAGGAGAAATTAATGTAACAAATAAAACTGAGCATGACAAGGGAGATCACTCTAACAAATAAAACTATCGGGTGAGTATTGATCTGGGTCAAATATAGATATGATAGGTCACTGGTTAAACACTGGAATGTGACAGTTATAGGTATTAATCACATAGAATCAAACTGATGCGACTACAAGAGGCTGTCTCTTGGCAGTGCTCTGTGGCTGAACATCTTTAAACATACAAAGTAAAAATTTAACAAGATCACTGACATGTCACTCAATCATTTAGACGTAAAAAACTGTTATTGCAAATATAGATAATCCCTTTAGAAATACCACAGCTGTGTCATGTATTGCATGTAAACCAAGAAGTATCTATTCAGATATGTTATTGTATAAAGTGAAATTGAGTAAATATGTGAGGAAATGATATTAATGCCATTCAAAACACATGTATAACCCTATTCATGCAAAAATTCTGGTATTAAGATTTTAAGAATAGGAAAATGGTCCCTTTGAAAAATGTCATTAATAATTTCATCACATATATTTATGGACCAATACAATCTGTAAAACTCATTCAGTGTTTGTTACTGAAGAAAATGAATGTTGATAAGCATACATAATGTATATCTGTCTATTCTAATTTTTACTAGACTTTTTATACAACAACTTTAATCGGAGTTCTCTATGATGAAATTGGTAACTTGACTCTGATTCAATATTTTTTCCTTGTAAACAGATAATGGTCATCTTCATTTAAAACATAATTAAATTGAAAGAGCAAAACTTCAGTGTTTAATAAAAACATTTACAATTTAATTAATCTAGAATTAAATAGATCTGTATGACCAGTCAGTCCTTACATCTAGAATGCCCAAAATAATTTCTCAGATTTGTTCATCAAAAGAAAATTTTAGTTGATAGTAAAGTAAAGCTATCTACAGGACGATGCCAAAAACTCAATGTAATAATGTAAAACAAAACATCACACCTGGTTTCATCACCTAAAATTTGGTATATATTTGGTACCAGAAAAGGTACTCATTGAAATTGTCCACAAAGGTATCATTTAAAAAAGATTTTTATGTATTGGTATACCAATGTAATCAAGTGTTGTGCTACAGCATTCTTTATCTCAATTTAGGAAGCTCTGAAATGTCTGGAGTAAAATTCACTTGTATCAGTTTTTGCAATATCTTTTTAATTGCAATTTAATTTTAATTGCAATATCTTTTTAATTGAAAAAGTCCTCTGTAAGACAATGCATTAGACATATACACATATGCTATTAAAATGAAGAATAACCAGTCATTTCTAAATCATTAATATATCATTAACACATCTTTAGTCATGTAAACATAACAGATACAACAATAACATCTGTATATAAATTGAGAACAATTTAGGAAGACAACTACACTTCCGGGCAATTTTTTAGACCTTGTTCTTCAGTTCTTAAAGAAAGATTGAAGAATTTGTTAATTAAATTCAAAATTAATTTGCCTGTCAGGTAAATGTTTCATGAGACACAATAATGGTATTATTCACAAAATATATAAATCTTTGTCTTCGAAAACAAAAACAAAAGGGACACAAAAGTGAATGTGAAACCAGGTAAGTAACACTATAAAGGGTTTTTGCTCACCCACTGTGCTTCTGTTTCGGCTTTTTTTTTTATATAAAAATATAATTGTGACAGATATTGAATCAGTGTCAGTTTAAATCTTACAATAAAATCTTACTGTGGTATAGAGATCTACCAATCAAGATACATACAGCCCCTCCTTCTTAAGGAATTTTTCAGCATCTCTTATACCCTGGTTGAAATAAATTTTCAAATTTTTCTGTGAAGGGGGAAACAAAGCATGGATACCTCTCACCATATTTCTCCTATTCATTTGGAAATGTTGTTCTGCAAAATTAAAATACCATCCCTTGCCTGGCTTGTCACGGGGGCAGATGTCTTGAGGCCCACAGAAGGGTGACACTGTCAGTGTTCTGCCATCCTCAAATATAACCAAGTTGTTTGTCATACCCCCATCCATGTATTTCTTGATAAAAAAAAACATAAAGCAATTATTTTCAGAGTCTGTTACTTATTATGAGTATAATGATGAAGATTTAAATGAAACTCAAACATCTAACTTGGTCTATGTATAGAACACCTATTTACATTCCATGTCTCTATCTAAACACTACCATAAGAAGTTGCATTTATAAGGCTATAACCACAAGCCCACATCATATTAATATGCCTCTCCTTCAGTCAAACTTGATATAATTTGTTGTGGTGTAAGAAGCAAACATTTAAATGACATACAGGACTGTTTCTTTTGAAAATGACATCTGTAATGACAATAGGGAGAATTACCAAATATTTGGGAATATCTGTATTAAGATCTGGTATAACAATGGTGGATAAAAATTTGCAATGATAATATCTATGTATTACAAAATTAAAATTTGCAGTTTCCAGTACATATATAAGAGGTATAAGAAAGTTTGAAATAATAGACAACAATCTCACCTTGCCTGATATAACTGGACTTCTTAGTGCAGCGTAAAAAGGAATGTGACAGCTGGCCATCAGGTGCTACAGGCAACAAAAATAAATTTTTTTTTTAAAAATCTACAAACATACATGATAAAGACATCTCTTAAAATTTATATCCTTGAATTGGGAATCTTTTATCAATCCTGATTCATTCAGCAATTATCTTGTCAATTCATTTTTCCATGATTTCAGTGTGCAACAACATCCATCAACATTACGTCAAAATATAGAAAAACTCATACTTGTATATTGATAAGAAAATTTACATCATTTATTCTCTCTGTCTTAAAAGTCAATGTAGAATATAATTTTGACAGATAATGGTATAAAACTGACATTCCAAGAGACCAAACTTTTCACAGACATCGTGGATAGGTTTACTTCTACACAGACATACTGGTTGTGTGCTAGTTTACCTCTACATAGAAAACTGTGGGATATTTTACCTGTACACAGACATCGTGAGGTATTTTCCCTGTACAGACATTGTTGGCTAGTTTACCTGTCCACAGATATTAGTGGGTATTTTAGCTGTACAAAGACATTGTGGAGTATTTTACCTGTCCACAGACATTGTGGGGTATTTTACCTGTACACAGACAATGATGGGTATTTTACCTGGACACAGATATTGTGAGGTATTTTCCCTGTACAGACATTGTGAGGTATTTTACCTGTACAGACATTGTGAGGTATTTTACTTATACAGACATTGTGAGGTATTTTACCTGTACACAGACATTGTGAGGTATTTTACCTGTACACAGACATTGTAGGCTAGTTTACCTGTCCACAGATATTGTAGGGAATTTTACCTGTACAGACATTGTAGAGTATTTTACCTGTACAGACATCGTGGGGTATTTTATCTGTACACAGATATTGTTAGCTAGTTTACCTGTCCACAGATATTGTGGGATATTTAACCTGTACAGACATTGTGGGTTATCTTACCTCTACTAACATTTTGGCTAGTGTTCCAGTCCACAGACATTGTGAAGTATTTTACTTGTACAAAGACATTGTTGGGTATTTTACCTGTCCACAGATATTGTGGGATATTTTATCTGTACACAGAAAAATTGTGGACAAAATTTATATATAGGGGTTGCGTCTGGTTATTGGTAGATAATGTGGGCTTGTTTACCACTACACAGATTTTGTGTATGGAAAGATGGTAAAAAATGCTAAATGCTTTATGCAAATTACTAATGTACAATGCTAAATGTGAAATGCTTATTACAAAAATGCTTCATATGAATGTTATAACTTACACCTTTATGGGCTAGTTTACCTGTACACAGACACTGTTGGCCAGGATACCTGTATAACTTACACCTTTATGGGCTAGTTTACCTGTACACAGACACTGTTGGCCAGGATACCTGTTTAACTGATACCATTTTAGGCTAGCTTTATTCTGAAACTGATTTCTTTCCTTACTAATTCTATATATTACCTATCCAGTTATAAATTCTTTCTAACATTAGAAAGACATCTAACCTTTATCCAGTGCCTTGTAAAACTAAATCACCATTGAATCAACTGTAATTAATTCTACAAATTTTAATAAGATCATATAATTTACCTACAAGTAAATATTTTCACCTATTTTACCTGTATAAGTTCTTCTCTTGAAGAATACTGAGCAGCAATCTCATTCTTTTTTGTCTGGACATTTGTAATGGAAATATAGAGAGCGTCAGAACAAAGTTCATGAGCATTTGGAGGAAGATGCTCTTCTAGGAATCCACGCAATGGTACCAGAAGGTTAAAACCTGGTGTCAGAGCTCCCAGTGGTTTCTTACGAATGTCATCAGCTAACTTCAAAGTAAAATCAATGCAGGCCTAGAAAAATATATAACGGTTAAAGTGAGTTCCAAAGCTGGCAAAAGATAAATCTTGAATGAAATGTTTACATACATTACTACCTCAGGAAAGTCTATTTTCATACCTTAAAAGATTTGTAAAATATTTTAAACTTATACAAATATAAGATCATGTTTTAAACTCTGTGTTTTAATTGACCTGATTTGATAAAAAGAATTAAAATTTTCAGCAAATAATAACTGACAATCAGTCAGATATTAACCTCAATCTTGGTTGGATCTGCCACTAACACACAACCAATCAATGACCCTGCTGATGCTCCACACACTCGCTTCAGGCTTTTCAGGAGAGTGGGGGCGTGGTCTCGAAGACAGACTGCCACGCCCAGATGGTAAATCCCAAGGAAACCACATCCACAAAGTGATAAGTTCATGTTGAGAATATTGCATCACCCTGTTCATTTAAATGTCATCTTCCATTCCACAAACAGCTCCTTAAAAATAGAACCGATACAGTACAATAACGCACATATTGTCATAAAGCAATACTAATCCCCATTCAGTGATCCGTTGCAGCATATTAAAACTTGTATTTAAATGAGAGAATGATGATATCTTAACACAAAGAGGAGCACACAAACTTTGTAGCCCAGTATGGTAGCATACTACACGAAAGGGGCCCAGTATTTATCTGTTGCTATAGCTTGTCATTGTTATAGTTCGGACATACACTTTCACGGCTTTGGATGCAGGTTGATTGCCTCCATATATAACTTTACTCTGGTTTCATGAAAATAGGAACCACCTCTAAAAACTAACAAAAGACTACTGGTTATGTTACTGTAGGTGTAGGCCTACAGTACTTTGGCCATATGAACGCTGGTGAAAAACAAATTGTCTAGTTTACGAGCCAACAGGATATATTATGAACAGATTAACTTACTGTATATCAATTAGATATTGTCATCAAAAGGTGTTCGAACCAGCTGTCTTTTGATATCTTAGAAACGTGATTCCTTTCTCTGCTCATTGCAGAAAATCGCAAGTAGTTTCGTTACCAGCCAAATTTAGGTTCCTTGTGGCTCTCGCTGAACAAAACTTGACCTATGAGCCTGACAACAAATCCGGATTAGACACGTCTAAAATTAAAGTATACAATATCGTAATACTTTAAATTCCACACCACTACAACAAAAATGAAATGTTTTCGGACAGCTTTATAATAAATAAAACAGCAGAATTTTGTGAAATTGTATTTTGTATTTTCATACTCAAATTCCGGAAAGTTGGATCCCCTGCTACACAGCCAAAACAACTTCCTGTTATTACTGAATTCCGGAAATCCTCAATCGTAATTTGGTTTCTTTTTATTTTTTTTGCATAGCGAACACCTCGCCTCGATTGCAGTGTCTTCAATCAATTTATTTGAATCATTTAAGACTTTTAGTATGATTTTCTTTCTACACGAATGCTTAAACAGACATTTTTGTAGGTTAAAATATTTTTCCATTCAACGGGTAGACAGTTCTCATCTGCATGATGCGGTAAGTCAGTTTAGTGGCTAATGAAGTTCCAGCCACATTTCCGTTTAAAGTTGTTCGTATTGGCAGCTAAAGCTTGTTTGTATTGGATTAACACACAAAGGACCATAAAGCCCCCGCTGCTCTAGCTACCATATTATTCTTAGCAATCCCTAGCCAAAGTTTGTCCCCGAATGGAATTTCAATGTGCCGTATAATATGACCGTCCTTTCGCGGTGATCTTCAACAAAGCAGTTAGGGTATATTTTCTATTACTTTAGTAGTGAGCGGTTTATGGTATTGTTTGTGGTAATTCAAAACCAAACTTATGTTGACCATACGATAAACTTTAAACAAGTGTGGCTAGTACTTCACTACCCACTATACACTTACCACAGCGTCAACTAAATTATGATGTAACGTAGTGGTAGTACAGTGCTAAGATATCCACTATCGACATAAAAAGGTCCATTGAAACCCCCTTCCATCGTTGTTTCTTTCCTTTGGCGGGCAGTTGTTAATTTATATATGTAATTGAAGGGAGATCATGTGGTTTTTTTTCAATTTTGTTTCATGTGGCAACCGTTTTAATACAAAACAAATATAATGATTGTTTGGAATGGAAAATCTAATGTTAACATAGAGGGTCTCAGTACAATACAATACAATAAGCTTTATTTTGTGTCGTATATGATAAACAAAGTCAACATTAGCTCAGAGGAGCTATTATTACGACAAAACATATCAATATAAAACAGAAAAAAAAAACAAAATGTGAAACATACGTGTATGGACATAAAACATGCATAGAGTAGTAACTGGAGATGTTGATTACGGGATTTCCATTGATTAAAATGTACATAAAGACACAGCATATTTAAGTTATGAAAGCACTAATGGTTGTAAATTAAAATGGCCCAGAGGTCTGGTAAGTTGGGCCAGTATAGTCCCCACAAACCAGGTCCCTAGTCCATAAAAAATATATAGAAACAAACAGTAAGAAATAAACATTGGCAACATAGACTAAAGGACAAACACACACAGAAAGCAGATCAAGGTTTCATTTTGGCACAGATAGAACAGGAACATATCGGGCCATCCCAGGTATGGATCAGCCTCTTGAATTCTGGGTAGTATTCACACTTCCGTAATTCATTCGGAAGGCTGTTCCACACCCGTGCTGCTTCAAAACTAAACGATTTCTGTCCATACTTGGTAGACTTTACATTTGGCACAGTGACTGTGTAGTCCTTCCTAAAATTATAAATAGACTCTTTAAATTTCACCAGATCTTGAATGTATTCAGGGGACAATTTGTATAAAATTGTGTAAACTTCACAGCCCATATCTTTAAGTCTCTTGATGTGTAAAGGAGTAGTTTTACTGTTTGTTAAAAGCTGAATAAAAGACGACTCATAATCCCTCTCAACAAATCTTAGAGCACGCTCATGGATCCTTTCCACCTTTCGCACACTTTTCATACTTGTAAAATTCCAGACTAATGGGCAGAATTGGAAATTTGAAAGTATAAAAAGAATTATATATAACTTTTCTACCCTGTTTATTTAAGTAAGTTCCAATTCTTTTCAGAACATTCAATTGTCTGGAGGCCTTTATACATAGCTCCGAGACATAAAAGTCAAAAGGGCCTGTTTCCAGTAATGTTAAATCTCCATAGGAGCCTGCCCCCGTATAATTTCTTATCTAGCTCAACTACTGTTTTTCTCTTTTCTGAAAAATAATTTTACACCTTTCCGACACCCAGATTTCATAATTTCAGTGAAAATGTGTTTTTATAAAGTTGTCAATTTCAGCATCAAAAACATAAATATTTCCAAAACATCGTGTTTATTCATAAAACATAAAAAAAATATATTCTCGGATGAAAATGCACTTGCAGAGACACAATTATGAAGAAAAATGCCATAAATTTGCAATTTTCTCCCGTTATCTAGTTTTGGATGCAAATTTCCATCAGAAAATCGGATAGAGCTTTACTTGTTTCATATGTGTACCAAAAATAAGCTAATTCCATGTGGTGGAACGTTCTCATATCGCCGCCTGAATGTGGTTGTAAATTGAAAGAAAAGGGGAAATGAGTAACAACCTTGTCTGAAACCCTATTATATCTCTTATTATATACAAACTTTTATATTGAATATCAGAGTGGATATTTTCATGACAGTTTTATGATGTGTAACGACTAAATAAATAGTATCGATATAAAGATTTACACTGAGGACACCCTGATACATGAATACTGTTCTATCTCAAGCTGTCCTCTTCTGAATTTACTGATCGTGTGGCCTTGTACATTTATCCGTATCTTCTTGTCTTTGTCTATACGTTTACGAAATCATTCACTCGACGCTGGCTATTCTTGTCTCAATTTCCTTGTTTTATTGTCCCATCTCCAAAGCGTTGTGGCTCTGTCAGGGTTGGGACCCTGACTTGTCTCACTTTCTTTGTGCCTGCCGACCACGCCGACCACGCCACATTGAATAGATAGATTATCCATATGAAATACTTTATTTTGTTCTAAGTAATCAATCAATTCTGCGCTTCTTGGAGGTATTGAATGTGATTTATTATATTGTCTTGTTATTTTGTGTAATTAGTTGTTCGTTATTTATCACACATTTTCGCATAATTGTACCAAACTACTAAGTATTAATCATCGGTGGCTCGCTATTTTGTTACTTTATCGACGCTTCATAAACCAATCGTCATTGTTTCAAGATGGAGGGTAAATGTGTTGGAGAAGAGTGTCAAATATACTTCAAGAAACTTAGTAAATAGTCCACAATATAAATGGCTCCTAGATACGCTGGTGCAACAAGGATTGATGTCAGCAAAGGAACAAGCATTTATTTGCCAGAAGTGCTACATGAAGTATATTCGGAACAAAAATCAGCCTGAACCTGAACCCGAGCAGAACCAGGAAATAGAGGAAGAAGACGACTCCCCGTCCCATATCCTGCCGTTGCTGACCCTTCATGATCTTTTGAATGGATCATCTTCACACAAAAAATGCTGTCTCTGTCTTGTTACCTTTCCAAAAAATGGAACAAAATCATCAGTCTTATCAAAACGTGCAAGACATCACCTGATCTATTCACACAAACTGTGGTGTCCCACCTCATCCCGCATCTGCTCCATTCACCTTATTGGTAACGACTTAGATCCGTCTACAGAGGTTGTCCTTGATGGTAGAGGTTCCTTGGAATCTCAGTTACCAACAAAATCGTCCGAAATCATTAATGACCTCCTAGAGGTGTCGCACGTCCTTTCCCAGAACCAGTCTGCGTTTACAATAAGCTTTTCTTCTCTTGATGACTCGGCATGCATGGCCTGGACAGGTTGGTCCAAAGATCAGTTCATCGAAATCCACTCGCACTGTTCCCCATATCTTTCATCTGGTATATATACCAAGACTACACACGATGCTCTATTACTGTTCTGGGTAAAACTGAAAACCGACATTTCCTGGAGTCAGTGTTCTTCTCTTTATGGAATTTCCAAGTCAAGTGTGTCCAAAACTTTCCACTCCATAGTACAGGCATTAGACACATCGATAGTCCCACAATTTCTAGGTCCGGATCACTTGACAAGAGAACAATTGCTCGGGCACAATACTGTCTTTTCAGAAGCATTTTTTGGAGATAAAGCCACTGCCATATTAGACGGCACCTATATTTATATCCAGAAAAGCTCCGACCACAAGCTCCAGAGAATGTCCTACTGTGGCCAGAAGAAGAGAAACTATGTCAAATTCATGAGCATCGCCTTACCAGATGGCTACATCCTGGACACCGTAGGACCATTCACTGGCAGCGAAAATGATGCTACAATTACAAAAAAAGTCATGAACAAGCTAGTTACTTGGCTACAACCAGACGACAACGTTGTCGTTGACCGAGGTTTTAGAGATGTCCTACCAGTTCTCGAAGCCTTTGGCCTCAATGTTAGCATGCCGTCATACCTTGAAACCCGGTCAAAGTCAACATTCTGACGTCCAAGCAAATCTTGACAGAACTATCACCAAATCGAGGTGGATTGTGGAATCCTATCATGGTCGTCTGAAACACTGGACGTTCTTCCGGACGCAATTAGTGTCTAACAGCTTTATCAATGTCATTGAGGCTTTGCTTCGAACCGTAACAGCCTGTCTGAATGGTATTAGAGGACCGATCTACCAGAGATCTCCAGAGAGAGATGCCAAAGATAGGCTAATGGCTGAACGTATGAAGGACCGTTTGACAACACCGAATGGTTTAGCTCAGAGAGTCAAGATAGATCCGGATCTATCTAGACGGGCAAGGTCCGAGTTTGTCAAGATGTATGCATCTTCCGTACTGTTTCCCCGTCTCGATCTTGATTACTTGAGAACCATTACGTGTGGAACGTATCAGATATCTCTGGCTCCTGGTTACATCGCCGAACATTTAAGTGATGAGGGAGACTATGAGGTGTGGCTTTACCAGCACTCCCCAGACCTTCTCCGA